ATTATTATTAGTATTATTATTATTGTCCCGCTCTATAGCCATACCAGCTTTTTCCGGTCTGACTCACCCGTCTTAAGAGCAGGCTCAGAAATAAGAACATTCCACACTAAATTGGAATACTGACGTCCTCGGTCTTTGTAGTTCTTGTATGGGAAATTTCATTGAAATATGTCTCTTCTAGGGTCAAAAGCAAAATCAATTTCTTTGCTTCATCCCCCGACCCTCTGGAAACTACTGGAATAATCGGTCGCTTTTAAGGACAAGCGGGCTAACCCAGATTTCGGGGGTTTTCAGAAATCTTGAACTACACAAAAAGTGAGCATTACCCTACCTATAGGAGGAGTCTGGTTTCATTGGTGTGTATATTTGTTTGGTTATAGAGAAAACTCTCCTAGTCTTTTAAAGAAACTGAACAAGGGTCCAAAAACTTCACCTTCCATTTTCTCAAAACAGCACTTTTCGGGATAGCCCCCTTGTGCTTAAAAGCGACCAATTCGGTTCCAGGAAGCCACCAGCCGTCGACATTTTGGTTCTGATATGCTGACCTACTGACCTATTTAGGGTGCTGAGAGGGTTAAAAGGACTGACTTATGTTGTGGTACAAGTCAGTGGGTAATTAGCGGGCGCTCTGATGAAGGCTACTCTTTCTTTCCTGCCAAATATCTATCGTCCTCCTTTGATCTCATTCTTTTATCGTTTCTTTTAGTACATGTATTGCCTCTAATTTCGGCACTTATATTTATGACCTTTGTGTTGCAAGTGTTGTAAAAGTCTTACTAATAGAACTACACTTAATTATTAACTGTGGTCGTTTTCTAACTGGCATCTCTAGTACATGTACCACCTCTAATTTCGGCACGTATAGTATGAACTATTTGGGTTGCAAGTGCCGTAAAACTTTTACTAGAAGAAGTACACTTAATTAACTGTGCTAGCTCTTTATATGCTAGTCTCTAGTACCTTTTTAAAAACTATTACTAGAAGCAGTGCCTTTAGCTGTTTTTTCTTTCCCCATCCTTACTATCGTCATTTTCCCTCTACTTCTTTTGTATGTTTGTCACTCTCTTGTGAACTGCCATTTCCGGGTGCCATGAAAGTCAAAGCAGACTTTGTGCCGTTGAGGCTAGAGAGGTGAGCAGAGTAAGCCTGATTCCCCATTTGGACATCTCTGTTGCCACCCACACCTCGGCGTTCATATGACCTTATGCAGTTATGAGTGCCGTAAAGCCCAGAAAATGTAAAGTCGCAGTTTTTCAAGGACACTCAAGCTGTGGAACTCACCAAACTTTGACGACCGTTCTCGCTGATTAAATGTTACCATCTGTGACTAACAAAAACACTGAACCAACTATGCTAATTAGGCCTAGTACGTACCTTGACCTGGATGGAACCCCTCTCCTCCACGTCATAAGGGTATCCGTCTAGCTCTAACTTTGTCGTTTCGCTGATGTGAATCTTCATCGCCTGTGAAAGCAAACAACAATAATAAGTTAATGAATACTTCCTGGACTAGTTAATTCGGAGTAATAACAACAACAATGTTAATAATAATAA